GATGAAAGGAACTGAAAAAAAGAAAGCTGAAATAAAACAGTTTGGGGACAGAGGGATTCTGCAAGTTTTCTTCTGCATGAAGATGGTAAGGCTCCCAAAAAAGTTCCATAATCCTCTATAAATGCAATCAAAAGGCTTCTTAATCCGACAATTATAGATGATATTTCTTCATATGCAAAGTTTAATTTTAAAGGGCCCAGTCGGATATTTTTTTTGCACCTCTTCTCACCTTCGGTCTAAAACACAGGTTCCAGCAGCAGTCTCATTTGGTTGGAAAGAGGAGGCTGTGTCACAGATACTTACCTTATTGTTTCAGCTCCGCTCCATCATCCCACTCATTAAAACAATCAAATGTGTAAACAAGTTTTTTTTTCCTTTTTTGCTATGAAAAATAAATGTGTCTATTTAGTAAAAGCTTCCTTCTTTTTAGCCTTACATTAAATTCAGATTTCATCATAGTCACATAACGTCATTAACTAGAAAAAAATAAATGTTTGATTTGGGAACATTTAATACAGTCCAGGACTTGTTTGATGTAACAATGCTGCTTATGTGAAGGTGTCAATTTCAACCAAGTGTAAAAATAGTTTTAACAACTGTGACTATCACAACTTCATGGAGCTGTAAGATCATCTTATAGACAGATCGGATGATAGTTTGGCATTCTTTAAAACTTTATCTGATTACAGCAAATCTGAGGCAGTAGCTCCTGTTCCACCACCTGTTGTGTGCTCAGCAGAAAAGGAAGGACGCCCAGACTCCTGTGGTTTTGTCTTGATAACCTTTAGTTTTCTGGATGTCATTACACATAGAAACACACATGGATGCTGCTAATTCAAATCTCAACTTTATTTTGGGTCATAAAAAAATCCAGCGGTGATTTCTCATTGACTATTAGGGAGGCTAAACCTCCCCTGTAAATTTCGAACAATTATTGGTAAAATATGAATTGTCAAACCACATAAATGTAGCCATTAAACTGCATTAAATATGTACTGATTTTATGAGTATGATGCACATCAATCAGCTGTTGAGCCCGCTCGCATTGAAGAGATCTCCCCCTCCACTCTGGAGCAGCAGGATGCTACCTTTAGCCTCTATGAGAAATCGCTGTTGAGTTTTGAACCTCGGTCTATTGAGGTAAGCAGCGAAAAAGTGGAGCTCTGATTGGATAACATTCCAAAATATGTCACTTCCTGTGAGGCTAAACCTCTTCTGCAACTGCACACATTAAATGTCGCTTGGGTCTGGTTGCGAACCAGTTTTGCTGGTATGTTTCTGCACCGTCGGTTTGGAATTTCTAGGGACGCACAGCAGTTTCACACCAAAGTGCAAGGAGAAGCCTACAGTATTTGAGAACTCGCGAGAACTTTGGCGGATGGTCACGAGAACTTCGGCGGCACTGACGGAAGTGTTTATTTTCCAAAACAACAATAGCGCGTCTGCAAGATATCACGGTCACAGAGATGGATCTAGAGTTGCTAGACAAGCATAATCTTCCTACACACAGCAAACCTTCTCAGAGGAACAAAATGTGATGAACAGAGATAGCCTGATCGAGTTTTATTTCTGGCTGGGAATGAGCTACACAGACATTCTGAGAAGTTTGATGTTTCAAAAAATTGTCATTAGTGAGATGCATTTGTTCTTTTGAAACAGTGTGCTGTGTGTAGGGAGATTATGCTTTAGTATTTTGCCAAGAAGTTACATTTTGTGGCCACAAATTATTATTTTATGCAAACAAATTAGTATTTTGTAGCAACGAATTAGTATTTTGTGGAAACAAAACATCTTTTCCTGGGAGCAAATTACTATTTCCTGGCCACAAATGTGCATGATGTATCTCTTTTTTCTCCTATGTCAGTTCTGGGGCTCCATATAAATCAGAACCTAATATTAGTTACCTACCTACTTACCCAGAGCTCTTAAGTTCTGATTATGCGTTTTTCCAAGGTGCCTCTCTCAACTCAGATGAGGATTTATGATAACAATTGGTAACAACTCCAGCAATCAGACAGTGGTAACCTTTTTAAAATGCATTTAGTGTTTTTTTCTATTTGCTACCTTTCCATTCTGCACATAAATATTGAAATTGCTCCATTAATGGAGGCCCACACATGCTGTTAATGCAGTTCAAACGGCTTCTGCAGAGCAAAAATATATTTGAACACTTTCGCCTAAATATGAAGCAAGTGGCCAGGAATGATGGCAATAAGGGCCATGCTGAAAAATGAATAATGAAATGGAGAGAAAAAGAGAATAGAAAAGGGAGGACATAGCTGACAGATAAGAGCAAAGTAGGCGCACACACCACCACTGATGAAAAGTGTGTGCTGACCTTTTGCTTTCATTCTTGTCATGGTCATTTATTCCCTCCTTTGAAGTGACTCTCTCCTCACTGTCATAGATCAAGTCAAGACACAAGAGCACCGTGAACCAAATACAAATTACTCTCTCTCCATTTCTCAAGCCTCTCCTCATTCCAAGTAGTGATTTGTGATCCAACATTATGAGCTGTATTAATACACAGAGGAGGAAGGTTTGTGCTCAGTTGTCATTGTGAAAGCTGATTATGAGGCTTTAATTTAATCAGATAATGCCTTCATTTATGAGCACTGCTGGAGGCAAGAGGTCTGACAGGACTTTGGTAGGACTAGTGCTCCCCCTGCTGGTCATTTAACTATGAGGAAAGGTTGGTTCATAACTGAATAAGGATTTCTTCTTCCTAAAAATTAAGAAATATTAATTTTTGCTTGTACCGACAGTTCTGTCTCCCATACTAATTTTCATACTTAGCATAAAAACCTGATATAAAATACATTTTGACCATTTACAAAAAGATTTCCTTGAGATTATTGAAATGACTATTTCATAATAGTTTTTATATGGTGCCTTTTAAATGTTTTTCTTTTCATGTTGTCTCAGTGCAACCTGTGCAAAACCTGTAATATTTGTTTGTGAGTGATTAAAGTCGTGGTGCTGCATGTTGGCCATTTTAAAGGAATGGGAGATTTTAATTTTTTTATCTTTTAAAGATTAAAATGTAAAAACTCTACAACTTTGCACATAAACAATATTTTATCATTCTTCTTTTTAGTGTTACCTTAGTTAAATTGCGTGGGTCTGTGAGCTTACATTTTTAAGCCCTAAAGAGTAGTGGGGCAGTGGGGGTATCATAGAATATATAAACATATAAGTAATTTAAGTGAAATAACTTGCATTTGCTTTTTCAAGCCTCCTGTTACACCGTGACAGTTTCCTTTTGCCAGCTTAACAAAAAAATAAATAAATATTCAAAAGTTAATGTAAACATGAACATGAGCTTCCTCACACATTTGCTATGTTCCATTCAACGGATTTCTGTTTTTTTGACAAACTCTTAATATTTCTAACAGTTGTTCACACCGAGGGATTTCTCCCATATAGGGGAGATTTTTAGGGTGCAAAATTAAAGTTATGTTGCTATAATTGTTATAATTAGATTAACCCTGATCCATGTGGCTTAAATAAGTGTTTTTATATGAATATATACACTCACCGGTCACTTTATTAGGTACACCTGTCCAACTGCTAGTTAACACTTAATTTCTAAGCAGCCAATCGCATGGTGGCAACTCAGTGCATTTAGGCATGTAGACATGGTGAAGACAATCTCCTGCAGTTCAAACCGAGCATCAGTATGGGGAAGAAAGGTGATTTGAGTGACTTTGAACGTGGCATGATTGTTGGTGCCAGAAGGGCTGGTCTGAGTATTTCAGAAACTGCTGATCTACTGGGATTTTCACACACAACCATCTCTAGGGTTTACAGAGAATGGTCCGAAAAAGAAAAAACATCCAGTGAGCGGCAGTTCTGTGGGCGGAAATGCCTTGTTGATGCCAGAGGTCAGAGGAGAATGGACAGACTGGTTCGAGCTGATAGAAGGGCAACAGTGACTCAAATAACCACCCGTTACAACCAAGGTGGGCAGAAGAGCATCTCTGAACGCACAGTACGTCGAACTTTGAGGCAGATGGGCTACAGCAGCAGAAGACCACACCAGGTGCCACTCCTTTCAGCTAAGAACAGGAAACTGAGGCTAGAATTTGCACAAGCTCATCGAAATTGGACAATAGAAGATTGGAAAAACGTTGCCTGGTCTGATGAGTCTCGATTTCTGCTGCGACATTTGAATGGTAGGGTCAGAATTTGACGTCTACAACATGAAAGCATGGATCCATCCTGCCTTGTATCAACGGTTCAGGCTGGTGGTGGTGGTGTCATGGTGTGGGGAATATTTTCTTGGCACTCTTTGGGCCCCTTGGTACCAATTGAGCATTGTTTCAACTCCACAGCCTACCTGAGTATTGTTGCTGACCATGTCCATCCCTTTATGACCACAATGTACCCAACTTCTGATGGCTACTTTCAGCAGGATAATGCGCCATGTCATAAAGCTGCAATCATCTCAGACTGGTTTCTTGAACATGACAATGAGTTCACTGTACTCAAATGGTCTCCACAGTCACCAGATCTCAATCCAATAGAGCGTCTTTGGGATGTGGTGGAACGGGAGATTCGCATCATGGATGTGCAGCCGACAATTCTGCGGCAACTGTGTGATGCCATCATGTCAATATGGACCAAACTCCCTGAGGAATGCTTCCAGCACCTTGTTGAATCTATGCCAGGTAGAATTGAGGCAGTTCTGCAGGCAAAAGGGGGTCCAACTCGTTACTTGCATGGGGTACCTAATAAAGTGACCGGTGAGTGTATATTGCTCCAAAATATGAATTGCAGGAGAAATCTAGAGTTATTGTCAAAATAAATAGACTGATTCTGAGGTTAGATGAGGATAGCTCCTTTGTCAGCAAATGTCTGTCATTGTAAAAAAACAAAAAACAAAAAGGGGTATATGGTATATGAGGTTGTCTAATAAATTGATGTTATAACTTTTGTGAGTTTCTGGATCTTAGTAATAAAACTCTTCTCCCTTTTTTTCCTCCATGTCAAAACGTCAGCCAGGATGTCAGGAATGGATGTCCTACTGGTAGAAAACAACAAGACTGGAGGAGCTCCGATAGATAACGGGACTTTTCTCCGTTTCTCCCCAACGTCTGCCTCCACATCCGCAGGCGCCTCCCCCCCAGGAGGTCGCCAGGGCAACGTCTATGTGTACGTGTGGCTCTTCCTGGGGCTGCTGGTGTTCCTGCTGACGCTGCTCATCATTTCCCTCCACAGGCTGAAGAACATCATATCCTCGTCTTCCTCAGTCCCTGACTGCAGCAGCGAGGGAGGGAGCTCCTTCACCAACATGGAGATCTGCAGCATCTCCTCTCAGAGGTCCACCATCTCCGCGCTCTCCACTTGAGGGAACTCATAGCTTACAGACTCATGTATAAACACCCTGTTTTCTCTTTACTGAGCGAGAAAGCATGCTCAACAATGAGAAAAAGAAAACCTTTGCAAAATAAACTGATGGAATAATAATATCCTCCCATGCATGTATACTTTAATCCTGGCGGATCAGTGAATATGGTGTGTTTATGCACTGTATAGCCACATTGGAGGTTATAAAGGTCGAAAGTCAAAATATTCTGCTAAACTTGACTAACAACAAACGAACCAGATGAATGTTTTCCCTGTGCAGGGAAACGCAATGGCAATTATCCTTTTTGTCTTCAATCCTTTTTCTGTCATATTCACTTTAGCAGCTTTGTAAATCATTACTGATTATGTCTGTAGTTTGCATTGCAAATTTTAGCATTCTAAAATATTAAAGATCTCTACTTTGTAAAGAGATGAGTCCCTCAGCTGCATATATGTTCTTTATTTGAACAGAAAGGCTGTGTTGAAAACTGGTAGATAATCCCACAGAGTGTGCAGACAGCAGAATACACAGAGGAGAATGATAGCTGCAGAGTTTCTGATAGGAGCACAGCTGTAAAGAACAGGTCAAAAGCAGCACAAACTCCAAGATGAAATCCCAGCCTTGATAGACAGGTCTGCAGACGTTACCTTCTCTTGCCTGTCAGCTCCCGCAGTGCCTGAGCCAGGTTTGCAACAAACCTGAAGTGTTGGTGGGGGGTGGATGGGGGGGCTGGTGGGGTTCTTTGAAGCTGTCAGGTCTTTTCTCTACGCCTGGATGACAACCTGGTAAAGGTCACTTCTCATGTTCAGCAAGTCGAGCAACAGTTTGGACAGTCTGGCAGAATTTAGGAGAAAAATTCAGGGTTCTAGTTGAGTGGAAGAAAGTAGACAGGCTTCAGAACTGGACTTAAAGCCGAGAGGTGGGGGGTTGACAAGTTTATAAAAAACAGACATGGCTCTGTCTGTCTTATGCAGCAACCAAGACATACATCTGTAAAAACATATAAAAATTTCAAATCTAATCTGTTATTTTGTAATAGCATAAATCTCATTCTGATAAAAAAAAAATCTTCATTATACATTCCATATTTTTTCAGTGAGACACAAATCCCTACTGACACGATTATCACTGTATTACTTTGTACAACCCCTCTGCCAATAGAAGACCCTTTGCTTTTTCATGTAGTTTTCTAGCAGATTTGATAAGATTTTTAAGATAACACAGCCTGATATGTCAAAGAGATCATAATGCGGTTTGACAGGACACCCAAGGGTGATGGAAGAGCAAACAGACGTACAGCTTCAAAGGTCTTCCACTCTACCAAACAGGGGTCATCAAGAGGTTTGTTTCATCTTTGTTTTATTCTAAGCTTACTAACATGTTTTGTTAATTATCCATCGAGTCCCAGGACTGAACATCTCTGAATGAAAGAACTGAAAAAACTGAATAAAACCTAAAAGAACCCAATCCTCATCTGATCAAAGCAGATTTTACAAACTACAATTTAGGAAACTTCATATTTTATAAGGGGTGTGCATTTATCATATCTTTTATGCATGTTGTGATACATTTTTAGTTATGATAAAAATGTATCATGACTAGATATTATTCTATTAATCATTTAGATCAGTGTTTCTCATTTTTGACTTGTGTACCCCTTTGGGAATGTTTTCTAACCACGAGTACCCCTCTCAATCAAAAGTATTGATGATTGTCCAAAAGTTGAACGTACAATAGCTAATTATGACTAAAAAATGTATTTTATTTACTAATTTTAACTTGAGCATTTAGTTCTTTCTCATGTTTTTCTTTCTAACTCAAAAAACATAACTATGTCGTCCAGAAACTAGTAAGGACCCTAAATACAAATAAATCTGCCGCTATAAAACTACAGCTCCTCTGAGTAACTATAATTACATTTAAACAAGAGAAATTGGGAACAAACACTGACTCCATTTGTTTTACTTTGTTTACATCATTAATGTCACATGAGCTTGCTTTGATCAGGTGTGGGAAATCAGCTGATCCCAGGCTGTTCTCTAAATCCTGTCTGTTCCTCTGCTTGGTTTTGAGTTTGGCAAAGCTGAAGGTGAACTCATAAATATAACAAAAACGTAGTGTTTGGTTGAAAAAAGCATGTTTTATTTTTTTAATAGGGTCCCCACAACGTAGAACAGCTCCTAGCCCTATTTTATTTTATTACCTGAGAAATAAAATATTTAACTTATGCAATGCACTCGCGGACCATAGGGGTCCAATTACCTCCTGGTGGGAATCACTCATTTAGACGATATTAGATATTTATCATTTTGATGATAATGAGGATTAAAAAAAAAAATAAATCTTTAGAACTTTTATTTTTATTCCATTGGACATTAGCTAATTTAAAAAATAGGCCTATGATTAAATTATATTAGATTAGATTCAACTTTATCCGTTGCTATGGGATGTTGAGTAATATCACGTGTTTCTATATACGGTAACAGGTGTCATAAAGAAGTCTATTTTAAATGTGTTTATTTTGTGAGAGTAGTACTTGTGAATTTGGTGCTACAACTGCTGTGCAAGCAGAACCATACAACCTAAGAAATACAATAAAGAGGTAATGAAGAGGGTTTTTATTGTCATATATAATGATAATATTTTGTGTCCAATCACACACCACCATCATTTTTCTGTTAATAGTGATGGGACTGAAAAAGTGTGCAATTTGTGCTGCAGTTTTTTTTAACACTGAACTGGTGTTTGATGTTGTCCTCCTTCACTGTGTGTGTAGACATGATTATTTCTTTAAATGTTTTGCATTAAACCAGCCCCTATAGTGAAGAGGTTTAAGTATGACTGTAATGATGGGGCTAAGGCTTTAATCCAGTTTTATCAGGAAGCGTATCAGCAAAAAAACAAAAGAAAAAAAAACTAATTGCTGTGAGCTGGTTGTGATGATTTACTTTGGTGACCACTGAATAGGGGAGCAGTTGAAAGGATTGATTTAGTGATTTTCTAGAAGCCATTGTCTGAATAATGTCATTTTTTAACCTTAGACCTGCCCTATCCCCTTTAAAAAAATGCAAATACCCACCCCTCTTCCCGCTCCTGAGAGGGAACGTCTATTAAAGACGTGCAAGAGTGTGCACAAGCTCATTTCTCCTTGTGCACACTCTGTTTAAGAGTTACTGTTTGGATCACCCATACAAGCTCACTTTGCAAAAGGATATTTGCAATTTTTCCACTATGTCAGACTCGCCACCGGTAAGTGAGAATGGGGACAAGCATGTAGAACGGCCTTACGTAAAAATATCAGAATGACTGACAATCAGGAGGACCACTTATTTCGATGATCCACCGGGAAAAAAGAACATCCTCCACTGTATCTTTAATGGAACAGTGAGTCAAGAATTACAACTCTGATTAACCTAAAATGTTAGTTTACAGGGAGGATTATGCATGTGTTTATTTCAAAGGGAGTTTTATTTTTGTTGTGTTTTGGGTAGAGGGGGATCAATAACTGCTGCAACCAAAAAACGAATAAAAACTTGCAAACTTTAACCGACTTGTTGCAGTAAAGCCACTAATCAGAGACTGCTCTGTATCCTGTAAGCATAACACATCATTGTCATCGACTTGGATGAACGTCAGGCAAACAACAGGCAGACAAAGTGTTGAATCAAAAGCCCAGACCTCAAATTCTTTGCATATTTTATTTTTCTCATGATTTTTTCCCAACTCACACGTCATATTTTACATCTTTGCAATAAAACATGAATACAATAGTTTTTTTTTTTTTTGTATTTTTTTCGTTTGTCTGTTTCATAGATCCAAAAATATTTAAGCTTTTTTTCTTTTCTTTTTTGGATACGTAAGTTTGAGCCTGTTGATAAGAGTATGTGCATGTGCGCGTTTGATCATGATGGCTTCACACATACAGTACGTGTCACACGCCGTCCTCTCTCCTCCTCCTCCTCGCTGTCTCGCTCTCTGTCAGCTACAGAATCATGATATTGCTTACAACTGTGAGGTTGTAAAACTGAAGAATCACACATGAGCTCAACAGTTTTCTTTAAATACAAACATTGATGCACAAATAATTCCCGAGGGAAGAAAAAAATGTGGAGCCTAAACGGAAAGGCAGCTGACCGGAAAAAACAAACAAACAAACAAAAAAACTAAAAGCTAATTAATAATGATATGTGATTGGTGCAAAGTGCAGATACAAAACAAACTTTTACAGAGTTGTAGCTCTTTTTTTAAATAATCGAAAAATGTGGGTATGTGAAGGTTTCCTTTGCTCTTTCAGTCCCAGTCAGCCCGGTAAGCCTCCTGCCACACCTGAACCAAGACTGTATGTACATATTTGACAAAACAGTCACCAAATATACAAAGGAAATGATGTCAGTCTCGTGTTTACCATCCGTAGTGGCACAGAAAAAAAAAGCTTTTAATATTAACCCTCTCCGGAAAATAAAACTAAACGACAATAAAAATAACCCCATCATCCTTGGTACCACCGGTTTTACCATCAGTCTTGTCGACATTATAATAATTATTACACAGTACTTTACATACAGCAAGTCATTAATAAATTAAAGGTGAGAAGCGCATTTTGTGTAGTGAAAGAACGAGTGTGACTCTGAAGGAAGGAGAGCCATATTTACATTAAATCAGAATTGGAAACAAAAAAAATCTATAATAATAATAATAATAATTTAGGCAGATTAAAATCAAAAAAGATAAAATCTAAATAAACACCCTAGGTGATTTTTCAGGGGTAAATTTAAGATCAAGCCAATAGCACCGACTTCAGGACAATGGTTAAAGAGGCTGGTGCTTACATTTAGAGACAAGAAAAGGATTTTTCATTTATATTTCACCCAAATAATTGATAAATGAAATCAAAAAGGAGAAATAAAACATGGAAAAAAAATATGAATAAAAAAAGACTTGAGTATGTCTTATGATTAGAACATACAAGGAAGAGTGAAATTGACCCATTCCGTGAGGATCAACCTCTGCTTCACTCTCTCCCTGCCCCCATGTTGCAGCCACTGTGTTGTTTTACTGAAGCAGATTTCGGTGTAGATCTTCTGGTTATTATGCGTCTGTGGTTACACACGTGTGCACAGAGGAGGCTGTTCCCGTCGGCGTTGTTGCATCCTCAATGCAAAGGAACAGAGCCTAAGGTCTGAAACTAAATCTTCCTTTGTCTCGGTACCTGTGGTTTCCCCCTGAGGCACAGCAGTGATGTAGCACTCCTTCCCTTGTCCGGCTCATGCCGTCCGCCTCAGTACCTGTTCTGGTGTTCGTAGTGCCAACGGTTGAAGTCGATGTTGAACGCTACGATGCTTCCCGAGGCCATGCCTGTTATTAAAGTCCTGTGGGGCAGAACCCAAGTGGAAATATAAAATCTACAACATCAACTTTGCACAATGAGACAGGAAATAAACTCATGAAATAAATCATGAATTAACTCTGCATCACCACCAAAAAAAATGTTAATTTTAACAAGCACATCAATGCCAGATTACTACCAGACCTAAAAATAAGAAACAGGCAAAAAAAAAAGCAAAATAACTTAAGAGCAATTAGTAATAGTGACACCTAGTGTTTCAAATTAGAACTACATCCAAAAAGTTTGCAGCAGACCCCCTTCGGAGAGTACCATGCAGACTGTCAGGTCAGGAGAGTTGAGAAAGTAGTTCAGCTAAATTTGAGACGAAGAATGAAGCAATTTAGCCACATTAAATGACTGAGTATTTCTGATCTACTTCTCGTGGGCTTCAGGGCTGCTTCCCTGTTGCAGACATAAAACACCAATTACTGCTGTCTGTTCAAGCAACCCCTAGTTATTCCATGTGATTTGCTGAGGAAGCAGGAATTAAACACGGATTTAAAACTGCACCGAAGTAGTTCCTCTCTGTAACTCTAAGTTTGAAGTTTGAAAAATATGACCAAGATGTTATTAAATGAAAGGACAGATTGTTTACAGGGAACGTTCCCTCCATACTGGGTGACAAATGAGAATTTGAAGATTTGGTTAATTTGACGGTAGGGATGGGAATCGAAAACCGGT